AAAATATCTTGTTCTTACAGTTGCATTTGCTTTGTTTCACCACAACTGGTTTTAACCGCTAGAGCTCTAAAACAATCATGACCTTTAGCAACCTCACCACCATCACCACCACTAAAAAAAGCTGATCAACTACTAAGACCTCTGAATGACCCCAGTTCATCAGACCCTTACTGCACTCAACTGAGGGTTCCTTCCTGACCAATGAACAGCAGGACTGGTTTTAACCAACCGCACACCAATGAATGGATGCATTCTGACTGCTGGAGTACAAGCTTCCAAACATGATTTAGCGTAAGTGCCTCGGCCTCCTCCCTTTCTACTGCATAAACCCCTCTGATCTTCCCCTCAGAAAATGTGTCCACGGCTGCATGCACTACCTCCTTTGCCTGGAAAGTAACTAAGCTCAAGGCCTACTTTGTTGACACTAGTCACTGGTTTTCCATGAATAATCCTAACAGGAGGCGGAAGGGAAAAAACACAGGCATCTTTGCCTTCCTCTCAGGTACTCACTGTCTTCCTCTAAAGTGCTTCTTTCTATGAGATAGGACTTCCCCTTCGTCACTAGGGGCACTAGGCCACACGGCCTAACATTGGTGGCAGCCGGGATGCACAGAGACAAGCCAGCTTAGTCATAAGAACACCTATTGAAAAGTAATTTTAATTTATTCTTTCCATTACATACCAGCATCAAGAAGGAAAAATCTCATACAGATGGCCTACAGGCACATGAAAAGATTCTCAACATCACTAATTATTAAAGAAATGCAAATCAAAACTACAATGAGGTATCACCCTCATACGGGTCAGCACGGCCACCATTAAAAATCCTACAAACAACCAAACTAGAGAGGGTATGGAGAAAAGGGAACCCTCCTACACTGTTGGTGGGAATCTAAGTTGATGCAACCACTATGGAAAACAGTATAGAGGTTCCCCAAAAAATTAAAAATAGAGTTGCCATATGATCCTGCAATCCTGAGCATATATCCAAAGAAAACTATAATTCAAAAAGATTCATGCACCCCAGTGTTCACTATTATAATAGCCAAGACATAGAAACAACCTAAATGAATGAATAACGAAGATGTGGTACATATATACAATTTGGATATTATTCAGCCATAAAAAAGAACAAAATAATGGAACTTAGAACAACATGGATGGACCTAGAGATTATCATACTAAGTGAAGTAAATCAGAAAAAGACAAATACCATATCACTTACATGTGGAATTTTAAATATAACACAAATGAACTTACCTATGAAACAGACACAGACTCACAAACATAGAGGACGGACTTGTGATTGCCAAGGGGGAAGTGGGTAGGGGAGAAATGGATTAGAAGTTTGGGATTAGCAGATGCAAGCTATTATCCAGAGAACAGACAAACAACAAGGTCCTACTGTACAGCACAGGGAAGTATATTCAATATCCTGTGATAAACTATACAGAAAAGAATATGAAAAAGAATGTGTGTGTGTAAACATGCACATATATATACAACTGAATCACTTTTCTACACAGTAGAAATTAACACAATATTGTAAATCAACTATACTTCAATAAAATTTTTAAGTGAATAAAAATCCAGTTTAATCTGGTAGGCAACAAGCTTAAGGCAATTTTACTTATTAGATTGTATACTAATAATTTTTTAGAAACACACACATATGATGTGTAGCATGTACTAGGTACTTCTTTAAGAAATTGACTCAATTCTTGCACTGCCATGTGATGCCTCATGTGCTTAGTCATGTCCGACTCTTTGTGACCCCATGGACTGCAGCCTGCCAGGCTCCTCTCCTGGAGCCTGGAGTCCATGGAGATTCTTCAAGCAAGAATACTGGAGTGGGTTGCCATGCCCTCCTCCAGGGTCCTATGTGGTAGTACTATTATAATTACTATTGTAATTATAATCATTGCAATAGTAATTATTATTCTCATTTTATAGAAGAGGGAATTGGAGACAAGAACAATTAGATAACCCTGTCCAAGATTACAAGGTGAACTGTGGATGAGCCAGGATTCAAGTCTAAACAATTTGGTGCCTCTGAAACTCACAAACTACTGACACTGTTCCGCCACTGGGTGTCAGCATACCAAACTGAAGGGGCTGCAGTCTTTTCAGGAAGAAAAGGAACAGAACTCACTGAGGGTTATCATTACCATCTTTCTAAATTCCATATATATGTGTTAGTATACTGTAATGGTCTTTATCTTTCTGGCTTACTTCACTCTGTATAATGGGCTCCAGTTTCATCCATCTCATTAGAACTGATTCAAATGAATTCATTTTAATGGCTGAGTAATATTCCATGGTGTATATGTACCACAGCTTCCTTATACGCAAAACAGAAAAAGAGACACAGATGTACAGAACAGACTTTTGGACTCTGTGGGAGAAGGCGAGGCTGAGATGTTTCGAGAGAACAGCATCGAAACATGTATATTATCTATAGTGAAACAGATCACCAGCCTAGGTTGGGTGCATGAGACAAGTTCTCGGGTCTGGTGCACCGGGAAGACCCAGAGGGATTGGGTAGAGAGGGAGGTGGGAGGGGGGATTGGGATGGGGAATACATGTAAATCCATGGCTGATTCATGTCAATGTATGACAAAACCCACTACAATATTGTAAAGTAATTAGCCTCCAACTAATAAAAATAAATTTTAAAAAAAAGAACTCACTAAGGGCCTTCTAAATGCAAAACACTTACAAGTACATTTCCTAATTTAATCTGAGAGATGAATAAACTTCTTAGAGGGCAGAATGTGCAACATTTAGTTAACGGAGTAACTAATTTTCATGAGAGAAGGGTTTGTTCTTTTTTTTTTAATTGTAAAAATAATGGTAGACAATTTAAGAGGATCAGTCCCTAGATTCTTCATTAATTAAGGGCTTTTTCCAGCTGTCTGCACCTTATCACCCAATGAAACCATTATTAGAAAGACCTCAGGGAAGAGACCACGCAGTGTGCACTCTCCCTCTGCAAAAATCAGCCAGAGACAAGCATCTGCTATAAAATTATCTGGTTTAATCGCTGTCAACATCAGAACCATAGTACATTAAAGTACAAAACCTGTATGTACAATTACACATACAAAGAAATGTGTTTTGCGAGGAGCAATTTTCAACAAATCTGACAAACAGCGAGAGTCATTCCTATTGGGGGTATGAAAGGAGAAATGGAAACTTCCAAGATGGCCCCCTTCTCCCTCCGTCTCCTCTGACCCTCTGAACATCAATTTGCAGAGGCCTGAGGGAGGAAGGGAAGTATTAACAATCTCAGACACTCAATCCTCCTCTTATGGAAGGGGTGAATTTTTAGGGAACATTTTCCATCCTTTATTACACTGATGTTCCATCCATTTGCATCATTAGGTTCAGTAGTTACCATGACAATATGATGCCTACAGCAATCTAACTTGATAGCCAGATGCCAGAATGTGAAAAAATAGGACCAGCTAAGAAAGTGAGAGAAATATAATTAATCTGAACCACATAAAAAAAAAAAAAATGTGCACAAACCAAAACCAAGAAGGAAACTGCCGAAATGTCACCCAAGAGAGAATGATGACAGGAAACAATGATCAAGTTTCCAAGATTCAAAAATCCTTTGCTAACTTGAGCCATGAGTTGGTCTGTAACTAAGGCTGTGGAAGGAGTCAAAGTTAATCTAGAATATTGCTCTGAGTGCCTCTCCCCAAGTAATTGCTGCTACGGAGTCCAGTGGTGTCATCTTCGATTCCTGCAGAGGAATTCTTACGCCCTGATCTTCCCAAGGATCTATACCCATGTGCTCAATGCTGCCACCATGGCATTCCACTCCCCTCCAGTCTGATGTCATACCCAGTTTTTCCACCTGAAGAAGTCATTTCCACCATCACTGTGAAGCTAATCTTAAGAGACTGAACGGAGCTGTGTCCTGGGAGACCTTGTCCCCTTGCCTTCTCCATACCCAGTGAAAGCAACTGGCTAGCACAACCCTCTTGGGGGCCCAAACATGGCAGAGGGGCTGGGAAGTGAAGAAACAAGAACAACATAACAGCTGTGCTTCCGGGAGACCAGCCCGGGATGGGTGGTCCTTCTCATCATGACTGGGTTGGATAACGGCGCTGAGCTAGGCGATTTGGCCGGTTCAGGCTGGTAACCGTGGAGAGCTGGGAAAAGACAAGCACAGCGCTAGGTTATAACCCCAGGCATGACTCTGCCACTCCAGCATGACTGGCTGGATTGAGCTTGAAGTGAAGTCGCTCAGTTGTGTCCGACTCTGCGATCCCATGGACTATAGCCTACCAGGCTCCTCTGTCCATGGAATTCTCCAGGCAAGAGTACTGGAGTGGGTTGCCATTTCCTTCTCCAGGGGATCTTCCCGACCCAAGGATCGAACCCAGGTCTCCTGCATTGCAGGCAAACGATTTACTGCCTGAGCTACCAATCTAGAACCCTTCAGGAACATTTGGCTTCCCATGTGGCATTCTCATCATTCACTTTCACACAACACCTTTACCTCCTAAATAAGGAGAAAGAAATTTGATTTTATAAAGAAGAGAAGCCAATGACACATCCAAGCAAGCAGTCTGCCTCAGATCATGCAGAAGCAGGGAATTTAGTTTCAACCAAAGTTTGCAATGATCCCCTCACCCTCAGGATGCTGTGCTGGCGCAACCATACAATTAACACCGACACAAATTGTCTCTCCTGAGTCTTAAGATTTATGAAAGGTCAAGAGCAACATTAATAATAGTGACACTGTCTGAGCATTTTCAGAGTGCCAAGACCTTCACATACATGCTCTGATTTAATCCTCACAACTATCCAGTGAGGTAGTTACTACTAACCCCATTTTACAGATGCGGAAACCGAGACTTACAGAGGTTAGTCACTGCTGAAGAACTCAGGCAGAGTAAGCTGTTATCAGTAAGTTATAAACCAGGGTCTCCTTCACTCAGAACCCATGCTCCGAACCCAACCCCTCTCCCTCAGGACCTCCTTACCTGGGGAACCTGAGAGGGTTTGTAGAGAGGAACACTCCCCGTCACGGGGGGTGGGGGAAGCAGAACACCAGCATTGAAGTAGAGCTCAGTGGAAACACCCTGTGATGGAACATAATAGAAAATCCTCTTAGTCACCACTTCCTGGATTCTAGAATGTCAGGGGCTTCCTGAGAATCAACTTTGGTCAAGAGATGCAGTCCCTGGTGATGCAGGGGATGGGACCCCACCTGCCAAGGCAGGGGACACAGGTTCCATCCCTGCTCCAGGAAGAGTTCACGTGCAACTAAGGCTGTGCACCACATCTACTGAGCCCACAAGCCTAGAGCCTGAGCTCTGCAAGGAGAGATGCCGCTGAGATGAGGAACCCGTGCACTGCCGCCCGAGAGCAGCCCCCACTCACTGCAACCAGAGAAAAGCCCACATGGTAGCCAAGACCCGGCATAGTCAAAATAAACAAATAATAAATAAATTTTAAAAATCTGTAAAAGAAAGAGGCAAATGTGATAGAGCTCAGGGAATCCTGAGCAAACAAACAGTTCCAGTGGGCACAGCCACCCCCGGGGCCTAGGGGAGCTTTGCAGAGGCTCAGGTGCTGCCGTATGAGAAGAAAAGGCCACAAAAATGGTACTAATAGCATCATAAAAAGTAACCTTATATTCCTTGAAAAGCCTAAAATATTACAAGAGTGCCATAACCAGACCCCAAGAAATAAAATTGTTTTCCTAGCAATTGGCATGAAATCCACACTGGACAATTCGTCAAGCCTTCATCACAATCCTTGCAAGGGATACTGGTGAACTCTAGGTCCTACTGGGGACAGGAAAAGAGGACATTCCCTTTCTTCTTTTTTTTTTTTTTTTTTTCGGCTGTGCCTTGTGACATGTGGGATCTTGGATCCTCAACCAGGGATTGAACCTGTGCCCCCTGCACTGGAAGCACAGTCTTAACCACTGGACTCCCAGGTAAGTCCCGAGGCCACTCTCTAGACATCACGTAAGGAAGCAGTGAGGGGCTAACTCATGTTCCTGCCCCCAACTTCCTGTCCTGAAGTCCTAACCCAGAGACCTCAGAATGTATTCAGAGACAGGGTCTTTAAAGAGGTGATTAACTACTGCACAGCTCAGGGAACTGTATTTGGTGCTCCATGGTGACCTAAATGAGAAGGAAATCCAAAAAAGAGCTGATATACGTATACTTATGGCTGATTCACATTGCTGTGCAACAGAAACCAACACAACATTGTAAAGCGATCCAGGCAAGAATAATGGAATGGGTGGCCATTCCCTTCTCCAGCGGATCTTCCTGACCCAGGGACCGAACCTTCATCTTCTGCATTGCAGGCAGATTCTTCACCATCTGAGCCACCAGGGAAGCCCCATACTCAAAAGAAGTTTTGTTTTTTTTTTTAAAAGAAGAGTGGGCCCTAACCCATTATGACCGGTGTTCTTGTAAGAAGGGGAAATTCTGACATAAACACACACACCAGGGAAAGACCACATAAAGACGCAGGAAGAACATGGCCATCTACAAGCCAACACTCTCCCGCCTCCAGAACTGTGAGTAGATACTTGTCTGGTGTTTAAATGGCACAGTCTATGACACCTTGTTCTGGCAGCCCTAGCACACTACTACAGAAACTTTCTCCATGCTCCCCACAAGTCAGGCCCTCACGGGGCAGCACCTCCAGCCCCCGTGAAAGTTCAGTTCACACACAGGTGGGCTGCTCACCTCAGGTCCCAACAAGCCTCCACTCCCGGGGCCCTCAGCTGTCCCCGGACCAGATGCTGACCCTCGGACTTCATCTCCACCTAGGAAGCAATGAGTCGGGGGTGTTCCAACTACTCAGGACAGAGGAGTCCCCACTCCCAGAAGGCTCCTCCACCCACCCCTGGGGAGCGCAGAGAGGACCAGAGAGGGCCCCGAGGACATGAGGTTGGCATACCTGTGTCCCTGGAGAAGGCACTGGCAGCCAGCAGAGACTGGGGATCTGGGGAAGGTGTCAGTGAGAGGCCTGGGCTGGGCTGAGGTGGAGACGCTGCCCTGGGCATCTCCTGCTTAGTGGAGAAAGAAGGGTGGAACTGATGGTCAACACATCCATGCCACCTGCTTGTATTCCTGCAGCACCCACATGGCGGCCTCCACCCTCAAGCAGGGCTGGCCTCCTCTCCACCAAACTCCATTCTCTTCATACCACTCCTCTGCTCAATAATCCAAATCACTGCCGGCTCTCGAAAGTTAAAATTCTACATCCTAACTTTTAAGACCTTTCGTCATCTGCCTCTCCCCTCACTGAACCAATCTGTCTCCCACAATCTCCCATCACAAAACCAGTTTCATCCAGACCAGGGTGGAGATGCCAGCTCCGAGCCCTCCTGGAATTGAGGAAACTTCCTCAGAAGGCACCACAGAAGAGGGAGTTTCTCTGCCCAGACCCCCGCAACCTTTTGCCCAAGGTTACCTCAGAGTCCGGGCTGTCAGACGAGTCTTCATCTCCAGAGGGGGATGCGTTGTGGGTGGGCTTTGAGCGGAACCAGCTGAACCAGCCAAACCCTGAGCTCTGGAAGAGAGGGGGGGAGTTCTGTGGTCTGTAGGGTGGAGATTAACCCCCCCTCACTGTGACAGTGGTGAGACAGGAGAGGAGGGGACCCCACAAGAGCCCAGATCCCCAGCTCTGCACCACCATCTGGGAAGAAAAAGATCCCTCCACCTTTGTGTTCTCCTTCACGTTTCCAAGCTTTTCTCTCTGGATGGTATTTTGTGAAGATTTTTTATCTGCCTCATCAGAGGACTCCTCCTTGTCCTCCTTGACTGATACAGGGGAACTCTCGGAAATACTTCGAGCTCTGGGAATCAGTGGCACCTGGAATTAGAGAAAAGAGAAGTAACATCTTTATAGCACTTGACAGGTTACAAAGGCACATTTACATGTACTCCCTCACCTGACCTGCTCGATAAATCAGCGGCGATAGCTTTACAGGATCTAATATCACTGATGGGGAACCATGATTCAGCCACGAGGAATAACTTGCTGAAGGTGTCAGGACAAGGCCAAAGCCCAGTCTCGATCTTCAGATTATCCTTAATCCTACAGGGTTTTGGCCATTGTGCTACTAGTCCCCAGGAGCACCAGGTTTCCTGAACTATTCCAAGGCCTGGAGCAGTGGTATGGAATGCTTCCACTGGAGATGAAGAAAGCCAGGAAACATCCTTCAGGAAACCCCTAAATGCAAAGATCAGGGAAAGTGACAACCACTGAATCTAACTCATCCCAGACCTCATTTCCTAGCTGACTTGCTCAAGATGAACCGTGAGCAACTGTACCGGGGGTGGGGGGAGTAAAATACACCCACATCCCTTAGTATTAATTTTGTGTGTGTGGTAGAATGTATCTAGTTGCCCAAAATGTTTGCTCAGGTTTGTCTGTAACATCTTATGGAAAAATCCAAATGAATTTTTTGGCCAACCCAATACATTGCATAAAGTTTACCCATTTAACCACTTAAAGCATATAGTTCAGTGTATTAGAATATTCATGATGTTGCATAACCATCACCGCTTTCCATTTTCAGAAATTTTCATTAACCTCAACAGAAACTCTGTTCCCATTAAAACTAACTCCCCATTTTTCTTTCCCTCTGGCCCCTGAGAACCTCTACGCTTTCTGTCTCTATGAGTTTGCCTATTCTAGATGCCTTGTATAAGTAGAATCATACAGTATTTGTCCTTTTGTGTTGTATTTACAATTTTCACTCTCAGAAAAAGATAATTGGTATAACCTTTAGAAAAAACACTTTGGCAAATATAGAAAAAGTTTCATTTTTTATTCTAAAGAGTATAGAACTTACTGTATACCAAGTAGTATTCTGAGCATTTTATATACGGCGAGTCATTTAATCCTTACAACTATCCTGTTAGGTAGGTACTGTTATTGTCGTCCCATTTAACATATGAGAAAACTAAGATACAGAAAAGTTAAGCAGCCTGTGTGAGGTCATACAGCTAGTTAAGGGCAGAGCAAGGATTCAAACCCAAGCAGTCTGACTTTCCTTCTAGGAATTTCTCCTAATTGAGTGATTCAAGAAATACACAAGGGCTTATATATTAGAATGTCCATCACTGTGATTTACATATGAGGGGAAGGGAAGGGAGGAGTAAGGAGAAAGAGTAGAAAAGAAAAGGAAAAGAGAGAGACTTGGTGTGTTTAACAAAGTAGTAAAGACGAATTAAAATCCAAGCTCCTTCCAGGGCCTACCAGGCCCTCTATGATCCTGCCTTTCTCTTTCTCTCTGGTCTTGCTTCTTAGTCCTCTCTTCACCTTTTTTTTTTTTTTTTTTTTTTGACCACACTGAACAGCTTTCAGGATCTTAGTTCCCCAACCAGGGACTGACCCCAAGCCCTCAGTAATGAAAGCGCAAAGTCCTAACCACTGGCTCAGCACGGAGTTCCCTCGTCCCTCTCTCTAGGTACAGCCCATACTCTCCCTCAGTTGTACCAGGTCATCTTATCACAGGGTCTTTGCTCTTGCTCTGCCCTCTGCCTGAACACTTGTTCCCTGAATACTCACCTGGCTCATGGCCACCCTCCATGCTGAGCTCAGAGACGCACTCCCTCCCACACCATCTAAAGGAACATCCCTCAAGCATACAGTGGTTTACTTGCAGTCACCTCTACTGAACAGAAGCCCCATGAAGGTAGGCTTTGTCTAGTTCCCTATGTATCCCCAGCCTCAATAACAGGACCAGGTACACTGCAGGATCTCAGTATTTGTGAATGAATAAACACATGAGCAATGATGTTTCCATACAGTGAATGTACCACACCAATACTAAAAATCATATATAAGAATGACATGGAAAATCTCATATTATGGTGTTAAAAATAGAAAATAAAGCTTCATCTACATATGTTCTCAACCATTTAAAAACACATATATGTGTACATATATACACATTAATGCATGTGGGCTAAGTCGCTTCAGCCATGTCTGACTTTTTGCGACCCTATAGACTGTAGCCTGCCAAGCTCCTCTGTCCATTGAATTTTCCAGGCAAGAACACTGGAGTGGGTTGCTATGCCCTCCTCCAGGGGATCTTCCCAATCTGGGGATCTTCCCAACCCAGTGATCAAACACGCATTTCTTATGTCTCCTGCATTGGCAGGCGCGGTCTTTAGCACTAGCACCACCTGGGAAGGCCACATACACATCTATATATACACCCATATAGATGGATCTCCTTCACTTTTTGAAAGTTTGTATCATACAACTTTGCTTTTACCAAAGACTGACATTAGTACCTATTTTCACTAACAACAACAAAAAAAAACTTTCACTTTTACCAAAAAAGTCAGAAAGCGAAAAAAGCATTCAGCATTTGTTTTGTAGGACCATTATAGAGGTAGCTCGTATCCCAAGCAGTGAGACTGGCCCCACTAAGCTCCTTTACCGGAAACTACACTCAGCATCTCACGGGGCTTTGAACCATATCTATGAGCATCTGGGCTTCATCTCGATTCATTTTGTGCATTGTTAGCAAGATGTGTACTGAGGTAACTGCTTCTTCCCTTCACATCATTTAGACTTACAAAAGGTTTCATAGGAAGGCTCTGCTTTCAGATAGCATAAGAAATGTGTACATAGAAAAAATATTGGAAGAAAATAAACTGTTTGGCTATGAGATTCTGAGTGATGGCTGTCTGACACTTTATATGACATTTTCTCTCTGTTTTTCAGATTTTGTATAACAATAAAGCACTAATTTAGGGGGAAAAACATGTTTTAAGGTCTGTAGCTTGGTTACTACTCAAGATAATTCTATGACATCACTTCCAAGCAGGCAAAGCTAGAGAGTATCTTAAATTTGGACCAGCAATGCCTGTTACTAGAGGAGGGATTCATTCATTCAACAGGTGAATAGATGATTAACTAGACATGGTTACCTCCAAGACCTGAAGAGAAGAGACACAGCTGCCATAGGTCCTTCTCAGAAATAAAGCAAGGTAAAAATGTTAAAGATAGGAATATCAAGAGTCTTCCATGATGGCGCAGAGCACAGCAAGTGTTCAGTGCATCAGTAAGAAGAGGGCATTGGACGGGGCTGATGTATGAGACCAGAGGGAAACCCAGTCCTGCCCCCACGGACACAGGTTGGCAGGATTGAACATGAACAAGAACGAGCCTCCTCTCTACCTCTCAGGATCCGGTGTAGACAGAAACAAGGAGAAATGTGGAAGAAAGGGCTAGTGCGAGGCACAGGAAGGTGCCTGCATGTGGCGAGAAACTGGGGCAATTGGAGGAAATCCACAGCTCAGAGTGGGTGCTGTCATCTGGGGACTCTGTCCTCTCACCTGGGGTCTGGAAACAGTCTTCTGCCCATCAGGATGCTGGAGGGTTTCTGGAGACACTGTGTTCTCTCCTAGGGCACAAAACAACAGAAATCAGGATGTTGCGTCTTTCCCTTCTCTCCTGAAGAAGGGTAATGGGAACACAGTCAGCTTTCCTAATTGCCAAGTGGCTGGAGCTCTGAGCACATAGCCCCAAGTGCCTCAGAATAAATATGAGGTCCATTTGCACAAGCCTCTCAATTCAGGCCACCCCAAAACATGCAACTCACCCAACCTCCACCCCAAACCAAGATCATTCCACGGGAACCCTGGAAATGAGAGCCACATCAGGCTGGATCACAGGGATCCTCCCAGCCTTCCCCTCCATGTGAGACTCCCATCTTGGATGGGACCTTGTGTTAGAAGGTCTAAGATCTGACTCTTCTGTTTGGCTTCTAGCACTTCCCTGGCCTCACTCGGCAGTGCTCACCCACACTCGACCCCTGTTGTCCAAGACTTGATGGGACAGGACAGAAGCACAAGCCTCTGCCCACAGTCCCCGACACGGATGACTTCAGAAAGAGGACTTGGTCTAAACTGCAGCTGCAGGCACAAGTGGCACGGTCTTGCCTTCTACCACCTCTCTCCTGGAAACTACAGAATCCAAATGGGGGGCCGGAGCGGCTGCTGGAGGCTGTGCTGTGTTTGTCCCAGCAGAGAGCGGGGCTGGAACGGGAGACAGCCGTCTCCCTCGGATGAACGCGAAGCTACCAGCCCAGGTCTGACACCCGGAGGCCCTCAATCACACGCACACCCACCACCCAGGGCTTCACTCGCTCCCACCCCGTATCCCACACTGGCCCCTGCACCACCCTCCTCTGCTCGCTCCCCTCCACACCTCCCCAGCCAAGGCTCGCTGCCTTGCTGGCAGCTCTTACCAGGGGGCAGGTGTATCTGCTGGGCTCCCTCCCAGGCTCTTCCTCCGGGAGCCCCTGTCACTGCCACGCTGCCACCGGTCCCCAGCAGATGGGTCTCGGGAACGGAGTAGAGAGGCACCGGGACCCCCACCTGCCCAGAACCTCCGCCTGTTGGGTAGGAGCCAGGCTGCTGTGGGCTGGGCTGGGCGGGGCGCGACTGCTCCGGAGTTGGCCACAGAGCTGAGCGGTCGCCATAGGCTCCTGAGTTGCCTTGAGGTCCAGAAAGATCATGATAGAAAGTGTTTTCTAAGGACACAGGACAAAGAAGAAGAGGTGAGACCTGTAGTGTTGCCTTTGTGTGGACTAAACACCAGGAACAAGCCTGCTCTTTGGAAAGCAGCGACGAGGACAGGCCAGTTGACGTGGCCACCATCAAAGTGGCAAGTACAACAGAGCAGCGATTTTAACACCTCCCACCATTGAGGACTTAGAGTTTTCAAAACTATGTCCCTCATAGCCTGTATGATCTCTGAGCCTTTTAAACCAGGGGGTTGGGATGGCAGAAATGACCATCTCGTTTAACTCTGCATCTTTCAGCTTTTGGATAAACTGTTTTTTTGTTTTTTAATGGATTTCCTAATGGACTGGGGTACTTGGAACTTAGAAAGTTTCAACTTAAAACCCAAATCAGACCTCAGAAATGATGGCTTTGTTTTGAAAGATAAGAGCTTTGGCCCAGGATAGGGACTTGGTGACATTCTTTCTGGCTTTGCTGTGTTGCTGACGAGACAGACCAAGGTGTGGACTGTGGACGTGGACAACTGTTGGCCCAAATAACGGGACTAGTGAGGTCGGCTGACCTACCCGCTTGATGGGGTGACAGGAGACACAGCTGTTTCCCAGGGGAAGTGACCACTCCGGAGCACCCAGCCTGCTCTCCCGCATCCCTCTCCCCTCACCAATTCTGGGGCACACAGCAAAGCTGGGAAACAGAGACCAAGGCCTGCCCAGCCTTGCTGTCCCCTTAATCATCCCTAGAGGAGGTACAAAAGGCTGGGAATCAGCCAGAAGCAAAGCCGTGAGACCCCATCCTCACCCCACCAGTGAGTGCTATTTGGGGAAACAGCATGGAGTTAACTGGGATAATAACGTCTGCCCAGCCCAGCACTTGAAGCATCCTAAGGGAAAAGGAGGGATCTGTTGAAAACACTTTGAAGCCTATTTCACGTGTGTGGCAACTGATGCTCAAACACCATAGGCACTTCACTAACATGAAATACAGATGATCCACCACCTCGGGCATCAAGAAATGCATCCACATGGGGAGATGGTACTGACACTAGTGAAGCAACTATATAACAACACAACAACAACAAGATTAAAGCCTGAAAGTGAAACAAAAACTCTAACGATGCGGAAACAGAAGTGTCAGGGAAGGCTGTGGCCGGCAGGGCTGTGTAGAGAGAAGCCTGCACCACGGGTCAGACCGACACGGGTGAGGAAGTTACTCCAGGCAAGCAAGGGGGAAAGTTTTTTGTTAGGTTATCTCCTATAATCAGATCCCGAGAGTCGGCTATTTACACACTCAGTTCATTAGTTTAGGTACCTGGAGTTTTTCTGGCTTCTGAAATAACCACTTGAGCAGAGTGAGGACCCCCAACGTCTCCTGCTTCCTTTTGCTATTAAGATAAAGTAAAATCCTCTTAGGTGACACGAAGGAAAACAAAAACAAGGAAGCATGATTTGAAATGAAGTCAAGCAACTTCAGCAGTGATGCAGTAAGGGAGCCTCAGCTGAGTGCGGGGCTGTGAGGGGTTGGGGGCGGGGGGCCCGCGGTTCTTCCTGCCCCACAACTCTGCTCGGAGACAGCAGGCGGAGGCCAGGGCCTCCTCCTCTCCCAGAGGAAGGGACAAGAGGACGGGCCTAAACCACGGGCCCCAGAGCCCACAGCACATGGGGGAAGCAAGGGCCGCGTGTGTCTAAAAAAAAAAAATCCACCTGCCCCTTTCTCAGAGACAGAGGAAGAAAGGAAATGGAGGAGGCCCTGTTCCAATTACTGTGACAATTACTACCAGCCGCTTTTGCAATTGTCAGAACAAAAAAAAAAAAAAAAAGAAGAAGGAAAGGTCCGGAAGTCTTTTAAGCAATTGCCCTACATTACATGAAAGTGACACCGGGCCGCTGTGAGCCACTGTTCCTCACAGAGAGAGACAGAAGCTTTGATGGTCAAACAATGTATTTTCTAGAACCGCAGAGAAGGGTGGCTGGGTGACTCGGGAGAGGGTCCCACTGTCTCCCAGGGGAACACAGGAAAATGTCTCCACCCGGGAGGGGAGCGCGTTAGCAGAGAGGGTCAGGTGGGGTTGGTAGCTGAGCGCTACCCCTTCCCCCATTAGGCTGTGCTTCCTTGGGGACAGAAGACCCCAAGGCCCTCCACAGTGTTGGGGACTTGCCGAGGTCAGCGCCTGCCTACCCTGGGTCCAGAGGAGCCGCGAGGGGCGCAGAGGCCCACCCCGCTGACCGTGCCTCCTCACCTGCAGCTCCCTGTGATGCCCCCGGAGGTGCACCAGCCAGTCCGGCTCCAGGTCCCTGTCTCCTCGGCGGCGGCGGCGTTCTAAAACCAGAGGATCTGACAGCTTCAGTCTCTCTGCCAGCTGTGCCCGGTTTCCAGATGGTAAGAGCGGGAAAAGGAGGGAGAGAAGTAGGAGAAATGGACCATGGGGAGAAGCAGTAAGAAAAAGAAGAAAGGAAGCCTTTGCTCGCTTGTAAATCAAATTACAAAGAACTGTCGAATAGCAACATCAGCAGATACCTTCCTCAAATCGCAACATAAACAGTTAAACCATCCTGGTGTTAGATACTAAATAAAATATGAGGAGAAACTGCTACTCTGCTCTATGTCTCTGCAAAGCTGTTCTCAGGAGCAGTGCTTCTCAAACTTCAGAGCTGGTAGGAACCAGCTGGGATTTTGTTAAAATGCTAATTCCGATCCCAGAAGTCTGTGGGGCCTGAGATCCGGCATTGCTAACAGGCCCCCCACGAGGTGATGCCCATGTTGCCGGTCAAAGGACTGCTTATGTTGCAAGACTATTCAATCTTTGCTTTTCTGGTGGCTCAGCGGTAAAGAATCTGCCTGCCAATGCAGGAGACGCAGGTTTGATCCCTGGGTCAGGAAGACCCCCTGGAGGAGAGAATGGCAACCCACTCCAGTATTCTTGCCTGGGAAATCGCATGGCCAGAGGAGCCTGCCCGGCTACAGTCCATGGGGTTGCAAAGAGTAGGACACAACTTAATGACTAAACAACAACAACAACATCCCATCATTAAGTCCCCAAACTTTCCTACTCCTCCCTTCTGGCTCCTGAGCTGCCTACAACCGTCATCCTATTGGCAGAAATTTGCCACGAGGGCACTCACTAGCACAGATTTTACTGGCTACAGAATCCAACACTTGGGCCTCATTTAAAGCAAAGCAAAAATTGACGGTAAGCTGCCTTTTTACTCTCAGCTAATGGATTTTTCTTCAATTAATTGGAACAACTATTTGCCTGATTGTTTTCTTTCCCAGGAACTAAAAGTTGATGTTTTTGTTTTCCTTTTTTTTGAATGTATCTCACATGTGATAAAATATTCCATGCATTTAAAAGCATTTTAATAAGGATCATTTCCCATTTTAATCACTAAAATATACTTTCTAAGCCCAGCTCTTATAATTAGAATGGTTTGCCATAACATGCATTTTTACTGTACCAAAAGGCAGATGCAAGAATGACTTCCTTGCACAGCACACGCCTGGTTTCCAGTCCCCCTATTTCAAACCCACTCCCGCCCCCCGCCCCTCCCACCCATAGCATCCTTCTTTATGCAGTGTCAGGCTCTGCTTATCACATCTGGGCATGCATATATGGTCAAAGACAGCCAGGGGCTCCAATTTTATAGCATGTTCAAAGAAGATGAAACGGGGCTCTGAGCCGCTTTACAACAGCTTTCTCTGAACACTGAAGATAACACACCTGCAGAGAACCCTTTGAGAAGCTCACCTTGATGAGTTCCACTAATAGCAGAGGGTGACTGCTCTCTCCGTGGCTCAGGAGGGCTGTACCAATGGCTTCGCAGTAATGCAAGGCCTGGGACGTGAGGCCGTAATCTGCCAGACGGGAAGCATAAAGGAGCTTATACACCTGCGAAGGGGAGCAGGGCCAGAAAGAGAGACGTGGAGATAAGACTTTTTGGAAGTCAGTGGACTGCCAACTTCCTCTAACTCTGGGTCCAAATATTAAAGAGGGCCTTGCAACATTTAGGGCATTCTATCTGTGTACAGGCACAGTTCCAAACCCAGCCTGCAGTTCCGTCATTGCAGAGAACGGGGTGGAAGGCACATCAGCTGAGTCTCCCGAGGCGCTGGTCACCATGGAAATGCACTAGCCTCTCCACTTCTTATCAGGCAGCCTGCATCTCTGAGAAGCCTGGTGTGGGGGTGGGGGGGGGGCAGAGGACCAGGCACCAGGGACACAGGTAAAAGAAGAAAAAAAATGCCTCCAATGGAAGGGGCTTCAAGCCTAAGAGGGAAAGTAAGACAGATACAGGTGAGGGTTCAGAGAAGCACAAGGGACAGGGCCAGATGGAGTACAAAGGGGCCGGGAATCAGACAGACCGAAGTTCAAACCCCAACTCTATGCTGGATATGGAACATGAAGCTGGCTCACCCACCTCCTCTCTGCACCTCGGTTTCCTCATTCTAATATGGGGATGATACTACAATCTACCCCTTGGTTGCTATAAAGATTCAATGAGATAATCCATATAAAGTCCCTAGAGTGAATGGTACCCAAGAGATGTGAGCCAATAGCATGTAACTCCTTGGAACCTCTTTTGTGAAAAGAAGGTAATCATGCCTGCCTCACACAATTAGAAATCACACAGTCAGAGGATCACAGCACTGTGCCAGGTATGTAAAACTCATTCCCTAAAAACAGCTCATCTCACTGCTATCAGTCCAAAGCCAACTGAGAGGTGGGATGACTACAGTAGAGAAAGACAGAGACTGAAGACCTGCATGGACCCCAAGCAGCTCCTTGGGCAGGACTGTGCTGGAGAAGATGGGTCTTTGGTGAAATCCTTACAGAAGATACTAACTGGGTCACTGCCCTCCAGATAGTAATCCATCTGTTTCCAAGGCTTTTTTGTGTGTTTGGTGGTGATAGTGGTGATGGTGGGGTGTGTGTGTGTGTGTGTGTGTGTGTGTGTTCTTGCCACCAGAGACCCTCTCACTACAATCACTGACGAAGTCTTTGGGGATCAAAGGGGACACCAGGGCATCCAGTAGAGGTTGAGAGGTTAGAACCTGGACATGGATGCGGCCTACACACCTGCAGCCATGAGAGGAAGAGGAAGGACAGGGGACAGAGTCAGAGCAGGGAGGAATTCCAGAGTTAAAGAGGGAGGCATCCGAGAGAGATGGGAACGGCAGGTCAGAGGACAGTAGGAACGGTGAGCAGCTGGGGTCGCCCCAGCAGGATGACCATGGAGCCGAGGGGATGGAGCCGTTTGGAGACAGAAGAGCGGAAGGAGCTGGGGCGGGGCCCCAGGGAGCCTGCCTGATTCTCCTTCGTCAGGAGGGAGGCAGGAGCCCGCAGCACAGAGGCTGCTGCCGTGTTTTGCTCTCCTATCTTAAAACGCAGAACTTCAGGGGGCCTCGAAAGAAATCCTAGCCCTTCCCACACTCCAGCTCATGAGGAAAAGTTCAGTGGATGACTTAGCCCAGCCGCTATGTGCCAGAGAGCAAGGCTGAGAATCCAGGTGCCCACAGCCGTCAGATGCAGACAAGGCCTCGAGAGCATTCAGTTACCTGGAAAGAAGGGATGAAGGATCGGGGACGGCCCAGCATCTGACAGTACTCGAAGATTTCCGTCCTCTGGATAGCCTCAGTTGTTGCAAATTTCAAAAACTCTTGACTAAAACCAGGGAATAACAATAAAAGAGTTTGAGGTCGAGGCGGGTAGGGGACGTATTTCACTCATAGATAGCCAAACACCAGCTGCATCCATTCACGGCAGTTTCTGTCCTGGGCTGATCCCTGGGGCAGCTCCAAGAGAAGAAGGAGAATCTGTGCCCCCAAAGGCTCTGGGGGAAGGGGGGGGCCAAGCAGGGGGACTTCAGGGAGTGGGGGCGGTTCCTGCCATCTTTCCTGGAGGGTCACTTAAGGCAAGATGCTCTCATGCCCAGCTCAGAGGGGCACTGCGTCCCCCCTGTAAGCATGCTGAGTGCCAGCCTTAGTGCCCTGAGAGCCCAGAGTGGGTGTCTGGGAGAGGTCACCCCAGCCTGAGCAGAAGAGCAGGAAAGAGGGAGCCATGTGATGTTCCAGGAGCACTGAAGAAAGAAGGCCCTGTAGAGAGAGGGTAGCACCGCAGAGCCAAAAATCAAATGACAGTCCCCACGTTGGATGCTCATTCCAGTGAGAAAGCAGACTGAGCGAATGTGATCAGGGGGCCCTCAGAGTCTCCATGGGCCCCAAAACAGCTGCCATGGGGGCTGAGACCATAATCACCAGGGCTTCCCCTGGGGTCAGGGCTGGATCTCTATAAACAACCTCATACAATACACAGGAGGGAGACACCTTAACCCAGGAGTCTCCAACCTCCAGGATCTAACGCCTGGTGATCTGAGGTGGAGCTGATGTAACAACAGAAATAAAGTGCACAATAAATGTAATGCACTTTATTCATACCAAAACCATACAGGGCTCCCCACCCCCACCCCCACCAACTCTAATCCGTGGAAAAATTGTCTTCCATGAAACCAGTCCCTGGTGCCAAAAGGGTTGGGGATGCTGCATAACCCATTTTGCTTATTTGTCACATCTGGCCCAGACAGCCTTCTTTGACAAGTTAACTACGTGCTATCAGAGACCATGACCTTGACAGACAGGTTATGAGACGATGCATTTCTACGAAGAAAAGCCCTAACAGTCTGGATTCCAAGTCCATCCTGACTCCACTTTAGCTGTACAATCTTCGACCCGTTACTCCACCTCTCTGTGCCTCAGTTTCCCTCCTCTATAAAGTGAAGCTTAAAAATACACTTTCTTCACAGGGTAAATGTGTAATGATTAAAGAAAATGGTGCAAATAAAACAGCTGGTACAAGGTAAGAGCTTAGGAAATCTTCACTATCACAGAGAGAGAGAGAGAAAGAAAGATCCAGAATGTGGAGGGTGGCTAGAGAGCAATCTGGTCTTTTCCTCCATTTATTCACTGTCTAGGGGTTTATCACGGTCCTTCTATGTGAGAAGTCTAATGTTACGGCCAGCAGGGAATGAGTGACAGGCCTGACTTTGAGTAGCTCGTGTGTCAAGTCAGTGTAAGGTGTGGGGGCGAAACACAAGCTTCTTCCACTTGCAGGTTTTGCCCAAGGCCGGTTCTGAGAACAGGTCCAGGGCGGCCTAACGCAGAGCCTCAAGCCACCGCGCTCGGATTAGCATTCTCCAAGAGTCGGTCTCCGGTCATGGAGCCAGGGCGCCACCGAGTGGCCAGAGGGGCATAATACAACCCACGGGCACCAGCTCGCAGCGTCCGGGAGCAAGGCCTGGGCCTGGGGACCCCTGGCGGTGTGATGCCGCACTCTTCCCGGCACCTCAGCCCAGAGCCTACCTGTGCTGAAAAACCATCAGCAGTAGCTGAAAATTCACAAAGGACAGTGGAAAAATGAAGCCATGAAACCCAGCTAGGGCGAAACCAATCCCCTGGAAGACGTCCTCCCACGCTCTGCCCCCCTGAAGATGGGTATACCTGTGGCTACTGCCCAGCAAGGCCAAGTAGTCTGTCTTCACGGTGTAGTAGCCGAAAGGCACGTGAGCCATGAGGTAGCAGAAGTGAGCAGCCTCCACCAGCCCCTTCCCAGCTGTAGGCAGAGAGCAAGCCTGGGTCAGGGAACACACCCACAAAGGGAGGGACCCACCATCCGGGTGGGAGGGGAGAGGGTTAGAGAGCGGCTCTGAGGTCAGAGCAGGGAGCTTCAGGAGAAGAAAAGAACCAGCTCTCCATGACGCGAGTCACAGACCCCAAACCCCACTCCCTCTCCCACCCCATTCTTGCCCTCCGACATTATATTGCACTTCTCTTCAGCCAGAAAAAGGGACTATGTCACATTCCCACTAATGGACTTTTGATGAGGACGTCTCTAAGCATTTTAGCCCTTCTGGAAGGGAACAAATAGGTAAGAAATGCCTACACCTGAACAGAGAAGCAGACCCTTGGAAGCAGCGGTTTTTAAACTAGGCTTCTTGGGACATTGATTCCTCCCCCGCTAAAAATCAAACAATAGAAGACTTTTTCCCAGTGCTCATAAAAATCACATTCAGTACCAAATTGTTCCCAGTTTTTAAATGTTCTCCCATACCTTTTTCATTACTTCAACATTGAGTTAATTCAAGTAGGCAGAGTAATTAGCCTGGCACCCAAGAAGGTTCAACAAAAGTTAAGTTCTTTCTACCCAGGTGCTGAATAACCTGTCATTTGACTGGGCACAACTTTACCTGTAGCTATTTTAAGTTTAGCAGAGCAGTACTTCACGAAGTGCCACAAAGCAATGATTTTCTAAATATTCTGTCCCTTGAATAGAAAGCCCAGAGATAAATCCGCGAACCTATGGTCACCTTATCTTCGACAAAGGAGGCAAGGATATACAATGGAAAAAAGACAACCTCTTTAACAAGTGGTGCTGGGAAAACTGGTCAACCACCTGTAAAAGAATGAAACTAGAACACTTTCTAACACCATACACAAAAATAAACTCAAAATGGATTAAAGATCTAAATGTAAGACCAGAAACTATAAAACTCCTAGAGGAGAACATAGGCAAAACACTCT